GACAGTGTCACTGAAGCTACCAACAGGAATTTGACCAAACTCTGGCAGGCAGTGGAAGACAGGAGGGCCTGGCATGCTCTGGTCCATGGGGTCATGAAAAGTCGGAGAAGACATAACAACTAAACAAAGTGATTGTAAATGCTAACAACACAATCAGCAACAAGTGTCATTGATATTCCCACAACTCTTTAATGTAGCACCCCTAAAGGGCATTAGTATAACTGCATGCTGTCAAATCGATTCTGCATTATACTGTAGTGACCCTTTTCAGAGTTTTCTAGGTAGAGAGCTACTCAGAAGTGGTTTACCATTTCTTTCCTCTGGAGGCATCCTGGGATTGTGCAGCTTGCCCATGGCTACACAGGCTGGGTCACACACAGGAGGCTCATTTGAGCTTCCAACCTATGGCTCCACGGCCAGATAACTAACTGACTGAGCTATCCAGCCAGCTAAAGTCCATCATGGGATGTCACAATAGCAACTTCCTAACTGCCTGTGTAACACTTTTGAGGTTCTATGGGTCTATTTGTTTACTTAAATGATGAACCTTGCAAACACAATTTCACAAGAGTCTCTTCTTAGTCACAGTTATGTAACAGGCAACATGGGCAATTATAACAACAATATGCTATAATTTGTGCACCCAAGGACTTTGGCAAGAGCACCAAAACAGATTGACTGAGCTATCCAGCCAGCTAAAGTCCATCATGGGATGTCACAATAGCAACTTCCTAACTGCCTGTGTAACACTTTTGAGGTTCTATGGGTCTATTTGTTGCTTGTAGAATTGTGAAATTAAAGTGTCCGTTTGAATTCAAATTCAGATAAAAATCCAAGCTATCTTCCTCAACTGGTTTGGGTATCCATAACACAAAAGGATAAGCTCCTCATGTAGAATCTTCAAAACTGTAGATCAAGTTGGCAAGGACCTTAGTAGTCTAGGTGGTGATAACAGCTCCGGTCTCTTAATGTCTCCCGCTCTTTCTGATTCAAATCTCTTACTCACAGTCCTATTCTTTCTCAGTTCCACCCCTTTGAGCTGAACCAATATTTCATAGGGCTTATATCTACTCTTGCTATCATTCAGTAAGCCTGAGCGGTAGGAGTGAGGGATCCCAGCCCAAGGCAGATATTAGTGGTGATGGACCCTACCTGGGCTGTGAAGTATGCCAAGTGCTCCATTTAGGTTATTGCAACAAGCTTGTGTCATATGTAAAAAAAAAAAAAAGAACACATGTAGGCTATTATGCTGAACCTGTGCTGATAAAAAAAACCTGCAACAAGCTTGTGTCATATGTAAAAAAAAGAACACACGTAGGCTATTATGCTGAACCTGTGAGGATAAAAAAAAAAACCTAAGGCAGATGCTAATTATTCACCTTTGAGTCTTCCAAAAAGATCTGGGGCAATATTTATACACTTTTATAGAGGAGGATTTTTTTCAGTTAAGTGAACCAGGTGTTGCTTTCCTAGGAAAGCAGTTGCTTTGACTATGCTGGGGTGAATTCTAGCCATTTGCCAGGAACTGGGTGTCAAGAAAATAGTTAACATAGCAAGGTATTAAAATAAATATGTGTCAAAAATTTATGAAGCATATTATCTTCAGGCCAACATGTGTTTCCAAGGATTTGGAACAATAATGATGCTTCATGTCCGAGGAAAACATTACTGGACAACAAGATATTGTAGCTGAGAGAGCGAATGATATTATTTTCGGCCTTCAGTTCTCTTCGTATGTGCCATCAAGTTGTTTCTCACTGATGGCAACCCTAGAGGTGTTCCACCACTGCTAACTCTAGTGAGCTTCCCCAGCTGACCAGGGATCTGAACACTGGTGTCCTGAGTAAGTCAAAGACTTCTATTCACAGCATCCCATTGGCTCTGCTGGCCCTCTTTCATTTTCTACTTAACTTCAGTCCCACTTCAGATGAAGAAATGTTTACATAGGGATATAGTGGTTTGAATCTTAGTACCTCGACCATTAAAAAGCCTCATAGAAAAATATGTTCTTCTCCAGGGATAAAATGGTGTGAACCATTTCATGTTCATGCTAAAAACTGATAAGCGTCTTCACTTGAGGATGGAAGGTCTTTGCCGGATGGATACAGAAGGAAAAGAGGCTGTGTGCTGTCTCTCTGTCTCTCTCTCTCTCTTGTCTTTCTGTGGTCCAGAAATGACTTTGCTTTTCAGGCAGGCTTTTAAGTGGGGTTGGGGGGGTGTCTCAGGAATGCTTTATTTATTAAATGTTGAGATTTTCAAATGTTTTTATAAATGTTTTTAAATTTTGTTTTTAAACACTTGTTTTAATATTGATAATTTTTAATGCAGTTTGTTTAGCCTTTTTAAATTGTTGATCATGGTATAGTTTTTATTATTCTGAGCTGCCCTGGCAAACAAGCAAGCAAGCAAGCAAGCAAGCAAGCAAGCAAACAAGAGGTTCCTACCAAACAACTGTGGGAATTATTCTAGGCGGATTCTTAAAATATCCATGTGGAAAACCAGCACACTCACAAAGATAAACTCTTGCAATAGCTGTGGGTATATATATTGGATTCCAATTCCTACAAATCAGTATAACGGGAGTTTCAGCCCATGTTCTATAGTCACCTACATTTCCCTACTGCAGAAAACAGGTTGCAAAATATGTTTTTACTCAGATTAATCTCTGTGCCAACATTTGTGCTTATGAACATTTATTTTGTGTTCCACAGGCACCTTTAGCACAGACATTGGACACTATTGATCTTTCTTTCTTTCTTTCTTTCTTTCTTTCTTTCTTTCTTTCTTTCTTTCTTTCTTTCTTTCTTTCTTTTTCTTTCTTTCTTTCTTTCTTTCTTTTTTGGAACATTATAGATAGAAGGGATTGGCTTTTCTGGGCAACTCTAGGGAGTGGCTGTAATGGATCTTGCCTTACTGGAATGAGCTCAATGAGATGGCATAAGGTCTCTTTTAATGATATATTTCTATGATTATAAAAACCTATTTCTTAATGCTTCTCAGCTTCAACTTGAAAACCAGTTGATATTTTAAAAATATCTACTTTTCCAGTCATTCAAAAATGGTCTGACTCACTCGTGCACCACAGCTGTGAGAATTTAAATAGATAAAATTCAAGACAAATACATAATAATGCAATTTCCTGCATCTGTTAAGATTCAAATAATTTTAAATTAAGTAAAAAATGGGGAATATAAGCATCACTCTTATTCAAAGGAATGCTGAACAAATAAAAATCAAATTCTGCTAAGTGTATTCATGAGTTGCCATGCTGAAGCCATCAGAATTATTTTGGGAGCAGGAAGTAATCCATCAAGAATGATCAGCCCCCATTTATTAGAATATAAAATTTGACAGTTCCATCCTTGTTTGATGGTGTTTGTTTGGGAAAGGTCATTGAGTAGATCATTATTCAAATAGGTGTAGTTAATAAAATTAGATTTAGAGTAAATAGTCTACATTCTGTTTTTGCTTTCACTTTGTATGAAATACCTAAACAAGATCTTTATTAAAAGCAGTTTTTGAAAACAGAATAGTTATAAATAACAGTACTTTTAATGAAGATCTTGTTTAGGTACTTCATACAAAGTGAAAGATGAAAAACATTTTTGAAGACTCCTACCTATGTAATACTCACATGAAGGGGGAAAAAAAGACAATTTACAAAATAGCATAGAGCACAGAGGGGGAAATGACATAGTTGAGAATTATCAGACGTCTTTCCATTGCAATCCCATAAGAACACACAAATTCCTCATTTAAATGTCTGTTCAATTTCTAAAATTTAAGGCAGTGGTCATTAATACAAGTCTCAATATGTACTACTGCACTAGGAGGATTTTATCCTTCCATTTGGGAACATAGGCTACCATTCTAAACACACTCAGCAAGGGTGAACCCAAATAAAAACACTAGGGTTTAGTTTCTAGGACACAAGCATAAAGATTACACTATTATAATTCCATTCATCTCTGTGGTTCCATAGTGGATGGGCATTCTGAATGCCATCATCCTTTTTTAAGCTAATATGGTGGCAGGGTACACAATAGCACAATTCCTTGTTCCCAGGAGTAATGACCCACATATTTATACTCATGTAACTCTATGTTACACCAGCATGAACAGGATTCTACCCAATATTTTCTGTTTTCACTCACAGTCTGAACAAGGCAACTCCTATCACCTGTTTGAATGTTCTCCCACATCCAAGTTTTTCTACACTGTGGTAGCTAGAAACAGAAGTGGCCAGAGTTTTTGCTCCTAAACTATTGTGTAGACAAGAACATTTGAGCAGAAGGAAACTACAGCTGTATTTCCCACCTTGGCACAATTTTAAAGCCTTTTCCTCTTCTGCAGTTGAGCCCCTTTTCCCTGGTAGTGTGTTTCTGACACTGGAAATTTCCTATCACTGTAACCCATCATGTCTGCTATGGAAATGCAACATTTCCCACCCTTTTCATCTAAGTACAAACATCTGGTTTCCTCATGTGCATGGTCACAATTTAGGCCAACCAAGAAGAACAAACAGAATGACATGATAGAAAGTAGCATTTAAATAACTTCGCCATGAATGTAATGCACCTCAAGCAGAGACCGTTCCTGAGGTAACACTGATGACCTGCAACTGGTATGATACATGTTAGCTGATGTGTGCACCTTGAAAACTGTCAAGGGGGGTCGTAAACAGAGGCTGGATGCCCATCTGTCAGGGATATGTTAAGAGTGGATTCCTGCACTGGCAGGCTGTTAGACTAGATGACCTTCGGAGTCACATTCAACTTTACAGTTCTCTGATGTAATTAATACCTGGTTATTGCAGTTTCCTTCTGGAAAAAAAGTGAGTGTAATGTGTGCTGTGGAAACCTGTGGAGTATTTCTGGGGCTACTTTTGTCACATGATAAGTTCCAAGATTATCTTTTTTCTGATGAACAACTGTAGTTGCTGCAATCTATAATGCTTACACATACGAAATTTCTTTAAAAGAGCATCTGTTTGTTGCAAACTATTTTAAGCAGAAAGAGGGTGTCATAAAGTATTGTAACAAATGAAATAGCTTCATATATTCTGATTTCATAGACGCATTCCTCTGTTTGAAATAGCCTAATAACAGAGAGCCATACAAACTGTCAAGGGAAAGTAGTTTTTCTAGTTCATGAATATCTTTATAACTTAAACTGAGAGAAAAGCATCATAGTCAAGCAGGCTGTTTTTGTTATCTAAGTATCGCTAATCAAACTTTCTCTGTTTTTTAAAAGTAATAATTTGGTTTCCTCTTGCATACCCAGTTGTGAAGCTTGGCATAAAATTATGGTGTAGTCCTATCCATGTCTACTCAGAGGATGCTGCATTGGCTTTAGGGGGCTTCTAGTTAAGTGTGCATAGGATGGCCACCTCACGTATGCTTTTTTAAAACTCTGTATTAACACATCCTTTGAAATTCACAAACCTTTTGTACTCTGAACTGGTGTTTTTAGGATGAGTTATAAAACAAAACTCCAGAAGCTATAAAAGACAGGCATATCTCCTTAATTAATAGAAGCAACTACTTTAATATTATATTCAAAAAGAAATTCAGTTTTTTGTTTCCTATAAGTTTCTTATATCCTGACTCTAAAAACACACTCCTGGCTCATTCCCATTAGCTGGATTCAATGCCACCTTAAACTAAATGGTCAAACCTATGTATTCAAGCCCAAATGTGAATTACCTGTAGGCATTTGTGCCCACTAAAAAGAAAAATAAATAATTCTACATTTTTTCATTGAAAGTACTGCATGGATAAATTTATTAAAATTCTAGCTTTGAAAATACATGTATCCAACTGGTGGGCTTCTACCAACAAGATTTTTCTTCTTCTGGTCAGGTTACCTGTCCCTGCTCCTGCCACCCACCCACTCCCCAATTGTCAAAACCATAGTTTGTCTTCCTAGGAGAGGGAACACATGCTAACTTTATTTAACAATAAAAATTAAAAAGCAAAGCTTTAAAAAAAACTTACCCCAGTGATCACTGCACATTTGTACAAGGTTATTAAAAGGAAAAAGCACAAGATCTGGGTAATTATTTTCATAATGGCAGAGAAAATGATCAAGTCCTTGTCGTCCCCTTCCTGTCTTCTCACACTCCCTCTTTCTTGGCACAGTGGCACTGTTGCGATGTGACTCCCTTGCTTCTCCCTCCTGCCTTGCTAGATTCTCAAAGAGATCTGATCACATCCCCTCTCTGGCTCTTTATTTAACCCCTTTCAGTCTCTTTTGCTGGTGTGATACTTACTGTGATGATCTCAGATGGTACTGATGAGACCTGAATATATAACAATGTAGAGCAGGAGGAAGGCAGCAGTGTCAAGTCTTTGGGAGATGCCATTCATGTAGATTTATGCATTCAATATAAATTTTTTAAAGCCCTATGTTGGTGGATTTACAAATGAAGCAAGAGTTAGACTTCTACTGCTGAAAGAATTTTTAAAAACAAATAAACCAATGAGCTTTTAGCTTTTGAGCCTTTGGGGAAGCTGGCTTTATTTTAACATATATTTTCCTTTAGCCCCAACAGGGTTGGACAACTGTGGTTCCCAGACATTATGGATAATAGCCTTATCGGCCCTAGCCAGTATATCCAAAGATGAGGGGTTACAACAACAAGCAAATCAGTCTTACTGATCCATAGTGGCTGAAAGGACACAAGTAGTGTGCATAGCTCCCTTCCATAGCAAAATGACCAAACACAAGAGATGGTGCCTCATCCAGAGGTATACTCCTACATAGAGGTCAGAAAAGGTACTTTTTGGACTATAGTTCCCATTATTCCTCAGCCAGCCAGCATGGTAATCCTAGGAATTATAGCCCAAAATGTAACTGTTTAAAGCACTAGACCCACCATTGCCAAGCAAATTCTGATTTTGATCCTTTACTTTCCCAGTAAAAGCCAATGTGCCAAGTTAGGAAGACAGAATCAAACCACAGGCCCATGAAAGTCCTTGTGTCTCAGACTAGATCGTCCGCTCCTCCTCTAGAAGTCACTTTACAGGTTCTGTTATCTGATCCTTTTAGCTGGAGATGCTAGGAATGGAACTTGGGCTGGGATCTTCTGAAAGTAGCATAGGTGCTTTACCATCATTAGCATCTGACATTACGGTATATTGACCCTTAGTGATTCCTAGGATCTTATTGAAGGGAATCAGAGGGGACGATGCTTTGTCCTGGAAATATAGAGTAAACATCTTTTGGTTGCTGGGAAAAACAGTAGAGTCACATTGTATTCAACAAGGCCTGTGGGTCATTCTGAATACTACAATTCCAACTGAAAAATATTTCCTTTAAAATGGGTTGTGGGGACAGAGCAGCCAAATTGTGCTCCTCTGTTTTCATTTCCTTTTCCGATTCCGGCTGCAGAGGTGGGGAAGCTTGGCATGGGAGATCCTGCAGGAACAGCTGTTTTTTTGTGTGAGTATGTGCGAAAACATCCAGGGTATCTCTAAGACCAGCAAAGCATTTCTATTTTTCATGAAGTCCCCTTCTCATTGCTACAACCCAAAGATGATGTTTTATTCCATAAGGATTCGAATGCCTGCCTGCCTGCCTGCAAAAGTTGTGTGACTTGGCATGAGACATCAAATGTCTATGCTGACTGTGTAATCTATGGTAATTCATAGCTAAAATATATACTGATGGAGTTATGCTGGCATAATTTTTCATTAGGATTTTAGCCAATAGGTAGAGCTTTCCCAGCAAGGGAAGCATCGTGTTGTATCTACCTGCCATATGGGGTTCAAAGACAATGAGTGTCTCAGAAGAAGAAGAAAAAGGTAACAAAGGTGACAATCCTCATCCAGCAATAACACTGTGAAATACACAGGGATTAAAATTTAGAGTTCTCAAGGTTGTGGAATCAGAGCCTTCTGCATGGACAGGTGAATGTGTTTGTTTCCATTTGTCTCACATGAGATTTTAAAAAATTCTTCCCACACTGAATATGAAGATATTTTACAAATTGTTATACCAAATGAGGATTAAAATACTCCATCCTTCTCTACAAGTGGATTCACCTCTTGAAATTGCCTCACAATGTTCCGGACTGTGTGTTCAGTCGTTTAGTCGTGTCCGACTCTTCATGACCCCATGGACCAGAGCACGCCAGGCCCTCCTATTTTCCACCGCCTCCTGGAGTTGTGTCAAATTCATGTTGGTTGCTTCGATGACACTGTCCAACCATCTCATCCTCGGTCGTTCCCTTCTCCTCTTGCCTTCACACTTTCCCAACATCAAAGTCTTTTCCAAGGAGTCTTCTCTTCTCATGAGATGGCCAAAGTACTGGAGCCTCAGCTTCAGGATCTGTCCTTCCAATGAGCACTTGGGGTTGATTTCCTTTAGAATTGATAGGTTTGTTCTCTTTGCAGTCCAGGGAACTCTCAAGAGTCTCCTCCAGCACCACAATTCAAAGGCATCAATTCTTCGGCGGTCAGCTTTCTTTATGGTCCAGCTCTCACTTCCATGCAACATTACAGGAAAAACCATAGCTTTGACTATTCGGACTTTTGTTGGCAAGGTGATGTCTCTGCGTTTTAAGATGCGGTCAAGGTTTGTCATTGCTTTCCTCCCAAAAAGCAGGCGTCTTTTAATTTCGGGGCTGCTGTCTCCATCTGCAGTGATCATGGAGCCCAAGAAAGTAAAATCTGTCACTGCCTCCATATCTTCCCCTTCTATTGCCCAGGAGGTGATGGGACCAGTGGCCATGATCTTAGTTTTTTTGATGTTGAGTTTCAGACCGTTTTTTGCACTCTCGTCTTTCACCCTCATTACAAGGTTCTTTAGTTCCTCCTCACTTTCCGCCATCAGAGTGGTATCATCTGCATATCGGAGGTTGTTGGTATTTCTTCCGGCAATCTTATTTCTGGCTTGGGATTCCTCCAGTCCAGCCTTTTGCATGATGTATTCTGCATATGTTAAATAAGCAGGGAGGCAGTATTTAGCCTTGTTGTACTCCTTTACCAATTTTGAACCAATCAGTTGTTCAATATCCAGTTCTAACTGTTGCTTCCTGTCCCACGTATAAATTTCGCAGGAGATAGATAAGGTGGTCAGGCACTCCCATTTCTTTAAGAACTTGCCATAGTTTGCTGTGGTCCATACAGTCAAAGGCTTTTGCGTAGTCAATGAAGCAGAAGTAGATGTTTTTCTGGAACTCCCTGGCTTTCTCCCTAATCCAGAGCATGTTAGCAATTTGGTCTGAAGTTCCTCTGCCCCTTCAAAATCCAGCTTGTACTTCTGGGAGTTGTCAGTCCACATACTGCTGAAGCCTACCTTGTAGGATTTGGAGCATAACCTTGCTAGTGTGTGAAATGATTGCAATTTTATGGTAGTTGGAGCATTCTTTGGTACTGCCCTTCTTTGGGATTGGGATGTAGACTGATCTGTTCCAATCCTCTGGCCACTGTTGAGTTTTCCAAACTTGCTGGCATATTGAGTGTAGCACCTTAACAGCATCATCTTTTAAGGTTTTAAATAGTTTGACTGGAATGCCATCACCTCCACTGGCCTTGTTGTTAGCCAGGCTTTCTAAGGCCCACTTGACCTCACTCTCCAGGATATCTGGCTCTAGGTCAGCAACTATATTGTCTGGGTTGTCCGGGATATCCAAAACTTACTGATATAATTCCTCTGTGTATTCTTGCCACCTCTTCTTGATGTCTTCTGCTTCTGTGAGGTCCCTTCCATTTTTGTCTTTTATCATGTCCATCTTTGCACAAAATCTTCCTCTAATATCTCCAATTTTCCTGAACAGATCTCTGGTTTTTCCTTTTCTGTTATGTTCCTCTATTTCTTTGCATTGTTCATTTAAGAAGGCCCTCTTGTCTCTCCTTGCTATTCGTTGGAAGTATTTCACACACCATGGCCTAACTACTGTACGTGCAAGAGTAACCCAAGATGGAATTAGTTAACTGTGGAGAGAATTAACCATGGCTATCCTTAGTTGCATTTCAAAACAGCAAACCCCATATTGGGGATCTTTAGATACTGCATCATGAGAGCTGCTCTTGTCACCGCCCTCCCAATTTCTACCTTTGCCATAATCACTGTGCTGCAATCTGTTATAGGTGTGGAGGGTAAATGACCATTCAGATGTTAGTAGACTCCAGCTTGCATCAGTCTCAGGCAACATGGTGAGTGGAAACACAGGGACATGGAAAGTTTGTCCAATATTAAGTCTGCTCACTGGTCCAGCCCAGTATCCTCAACACTGGTTGGAATCATGTCGGTATTTGTATAAAGTTTGCATAAATTACTGTAGTTAGTTGCAGTCCAATGAGAACATGCATATTGGTCACATGCCTGGCCAGACATCCAGTTGTGCAACCAAGATATACTTTTATGTCTTCTCAAATTAGCTGCAACAACTTATACAGTCCTTATGCAAACGTATATAGGATTCTGGCCACTGACTGTGAGCAGGTCTCCAAGATTCCAGGCAAGATTCTTTCCTACCTCTTCCCTGATGGTCTCTCATTCAAGGATTAACCTGGCCTGACCCTCCTTAGTTTCCAAAATCAGACGGGACTGGAGATCTTAAGAGTGTTAGGGTGATAGTCAGTTTATGGATGATAAGTTGTAACTTGATAACCTTTATAGGGACACTGGTTTTGATGGAGTTACAACCGGTAATATCTGGAAGGATGCCTCAGCTGTTAGGTGTCGACTGTCTCAAAATTCAGATTCATGTTTTACAACTATGCCTATAGCAAACCTTAATTGTTTTTTTTAGTATGGTATTGGATCCTTTTTAGTATTTGTACACTCATCTTTAATATTGTCTTTTAATGATGTAAGCCACCTTGGGTCCTTTTGAAAGAGAAAGGTGGGGTATATTTAAATTTTAAAAAATAAATAAATGTACAATCGTTTTGATTTGTCTTTCCTTCTCCTTTCCCTCTTTTTATGGTATTTGATCCTTTTTAGTATTTGTACGCTCATCTTTAATATTGTCTTTTAATGATGTAAGCCACCTTGGGTCCTTTTGAAAGAGAAAGGTGGGGTATATTTAAATTTAAAAAATAAATAAATGTACAATCGTTTTGATTTGTCTTTCTCCTTTCCCTCTTTTTCTCTTTTTCTTCACCAATACTATTATATCCTCTTTCCCTCTGGCTACTTTTTCCTTAAAAAAAGAAAAGAAATTATGAGCAAAACAA